CAGGGTGACGTTACGTCACCCTTAAAACATAGTGCCATTGGGTCAGGCGCGTATGCGATTGTTTTTATAGCTCACGGTAGCTTTGGGCGCAGTAGGCCTACATAAACTTTTATCAAAGAATTTTATCGTTTCCACGAGATATGCCCATACGTTTGAAATCAATTATTTATTTATTTATTTATTTAATTAGGACAACCAACAAGACAGACACAAATTCAAGCAAAGGGGTTTACATACATAATTTTGTCTTAGGACTAGATTATTATCGATAGAATTTTATCACGGCGCGCATCCTAGCGCGGCTGGTGTGCATTAGTATGTTTTGGCACAGTCTATAGTCTTCCCCCCTTAGATACTGATAAAATTTTTCCTTTTGGGTAAGTAGGTACTAAGTAATCTTCTGACTTTAATAATTTTTTTGGCATAATGTCAGCCAGGAGGCGTGTCAGTAAATATCTGGGTGAAGTAACGTCAGACGTATGTATTAGTAGGTATAGTATGTTTTAGCACATTCTATAGTCATTTAATTTTTTATTTCCCCTTAGATAACCTTTTTCCTCTAAGGTACGTACACTAAAGTATCTTCTAATTATATTTTTTACCATGTCAGTCTGGCGGCGGTGAGTCAGTATCCACGAAATTGTCGCTCTTTTTGTATAGGATTATTATCTGGATGATGTATCTGTTAAATTAAATTCATTGATATTCATTGGACTTTGTAAAAGCTGAGAGCTTACACAAAATTTTATGTAGGTATTTATTTAGAACAGTACCTTCTTTTATGAAAATAAAAATGCTAATTTGAAGCTCAGGTAGCGAAACATACTTTATTTGGGGATCTGAAATCTCTTTACGTAATTTTTCTCTTATGGAAAAAAAAATTATTTTGATTTGCAGTCTGATACGCAACTAAGTATTAAGTATTGCATTAAATACAACATATTTTCCTGGTATTATAAATACCTGATGCAAGTATTAAACACTTAATGATGAGTTTAGTATTCCTTAGAAAATGTATGTGTAATGAGAAGAAGTAAAACAATAAATTATTTCTGCGAATAATTACGTATAAACGTACTTATTTATACAAAATAATATACATATTACAGGAGTTATTTTTTTAATTAAGAAGCCAGTAATAAATGCTTTCTTATGTTATCTAAGTACCAGTGAAATAATTACATGTTTGAAAAATTAGTTAACATCATTATAAACAGGAATTTTATATTATTTCTTTCTCGATTTATTTACTAATAGTCTGTAATTTATTGTGTTATTAGACCCTTAAAGTCGGTTAATTATATCAATGATTGCAACAAGGAAGATCTTTATTGTGCCTCTTCATTTAATTACCTTTATCTGCATCTAGCATGAATAAAATGCACCCATTATTCAAATGCATGGAGGCAAGATGCTATCCGTATGTGATGACATTATATGTATACTCGTACTTGTATGTATCTGATCGTACATTGCTAATAAACAAGTGCTTTTTTATGCTAATTTTCTAAATGTAGAGACAGATGAGCACATTTGAATGACATGTTCTAAATGAAGTATTTTGTTCTAAGTTGGCAAATTGATTGTTTAATCTAGCTTTGAATCAAATCCTTGTTAACTTAATGGGTGCTTGTTATTGTCAACAGAGCTTAAAGAATATTCGTTTTTTTGGTTTGTTAAATAAACTTCTTTATAATTGCAATAAATATAGATAGATAGAATGAATGTCATAAACTGTCATAAAAATAATCGTATGATTGTTGTTGTTGAACAAAGAGTCAATATAAAACACTTAAAACTTTATGGCCGTAACCTTTGCTGAGGTTATTAACAATTCGAATTCACTATAGAATTCATTAAAAAAACAAACGAAGACGATTATTAAGTATGAATTCAGACAATAACTCCATTACGTGAAAAAAACGACACAACCTTGACACAAATATAGTTTTATTAATATTTGCCTAGTTTTTAACGCGACCTATTGCCTTGGCAGTGCTAATAAGTCGGCACACAGAGATATTTGACCGCAATCAAACGAACAACTAAAATAACGACCGTGAAAAAAAGAAAGCTCGGTCGCCATATTGTCACGAAATTTAATTTGACCTGACGTTTGCTGAAAAATGTTTCATAAGAATATGAGCACTAACTTAGTTATAGGGTGTGACAAAACTGAATTGAACATAAAATATAGATAATAAAGCATTACCCAACATTTTTATTAGTGAAGATTACAGGGCTACAAGTATTAGTTGTTGCAATGAGGGCTATCGTTTTTATACTTAACAGTTGGCACCCCTGGCGATTGACAGGACCTTACTCTACAGTGGCGCCATCTTGATGAGGGCAAATGCGATAGTCCTCCTACCACTTTAGCGCTCACCAGTTGGCGCCACTGTCTTCGCTACTAGCAAGTGACAGGACCTTAATCTACAGTGGCGCCAACTGGTGAGCGCTAAAACGATAGCCCTCATTCACAAAGGCGAGTGAGCTTTGTGTGTGTGAACATGTGTGATGGCTCGCTGCTGTTCGATTTTCAAAAGTTTTGATACACATTATACTATCGTTATGTGCATGTACACGTACACACACAAGTAAAGCTCACTCGCCTTCGTGAGTTGCAAGAACTATACCTAGTACTTTAATGGATCGAGAGAACAACGATGTGAAACACTAAACATATTTTACCTAATCATTTCGAGCAAGGTAAACCCCCTATTTTGGTAATAACCGAGTGTTTATTTGTTTTATAGTGATCATGTTTAAAAAGATAACATAAATGAGAGTATTTTAATGAGTGTTGTGGTTATCCTTTAACAATTCTTTATTTTATTTGTACTCTTGGTATCAGAGTTATCCCCAACCTCTTATATCATTGCAAAATAAGATAAAATTACTATTAATCGAATCTTTGAAATTGTAAACCTATTAGATTACATAAAATATAGATGGTGCATTTTGTATCAATTTAATTGATGTTAATGGTTTTCTTAGTTTCTTAATAGTCTTCTAGTAAAATCCTTTTCAAATTAAAGCTTGTGATATAACAGTCTAGCAAAGCTATTATTCCAGTAAACTCTGAGAACTTCCGTCATGTGAATGTATTATTTCCATACAAAACGACTGAATGCGATTCATTCATAAGTGGATGATAATAATTAGCATTCTAAAAATGAGCTAAGTGGTAACTTAAAGTAGTAGCATCGTTAATTTTTTCTCTTCACAAATAAGTAGTAATTATTAGAAAACTACACTCTTTACTAGGAAACCTTCTGTCCCAAAATACACTGGACCGCAAAGATAAAGGGTCGGTTAGAAAATCTTCAATATATTAAAAATACCTATATGAAACAAAGCATATTTGAAAAAGCAAATATCTACTAGTATAATAAGAAAATAGCATTTTGGAGAGATATTAATAACATAAATGCTGCATTACTTGAAGTAGGTTTCAGAATAAACCTGTTACACAGTTGGTATGTAGAGATTGGTGGCATTGAAATTTGACATGAAATGTATAATTAAAATAAGCAGCAAAGTTGTTCACGTAACATTCTTAGTATTATTACTACACGGTGCTGACATTTAAATAAATAAATAAAGACAATCCCAGAAAGGTTAAGCGAGTCTCCAACTAAGTAGAGCTTAAAATAGCTACTAGATAACGGTTATAAATAGATAATTATTATGTATAATACAGTGGACCATAACTTTGGATATATTCATGTTTATCTATCACACTAGGTTTGCCCCCTTTGGGATACGAACCTACTATCTCTTGACGTTTGGTTCCGGTGCACGAACCGGCGGCTAGGAGCTTGTAAGTTTGTAAAACTTAGGCTGGGTTGAACCACCTAACTTTGACCGTGATTAAAACGATGGCAGGCATTTTTGTATGGAATTTGACAGATTTGTGACATTTACCAAAGTTAAAGTAAGATGGTACAACCCAGCCTAGTTTTGATAATGTTAAGTTATAAAAACGGTAATAATATAAGCATTGGTAAAAGGAATATTATTAAGCCAAAAATAAAAAACAAGTATAGAAAAATCACTTCATACGACTGACTCTACAATATTATGCTAATGATTGTGCGATGTTCAAGATGTTTTAGGAAAGGCAAGCGTGGTTTCTTATCTTATGTAACCTTTTAACATTATGGCCTTTTTATTTAAGCGATAGTTCAAAGTTTAGAGCTTGTTGATACAACATCGTTTGGATTAATTCAAAGGTGTAATATGATTCCACAACAGTGCCGTAACTAGCCTTTTATGCGCCCGGTGCGAGCTTTCAAAACTGCGCCCTTGAATAATGCTTGGTCTGGTCATTTCTGCGCCCCTCCAGGGTCTGCGCCCTGTGCCTGGGCACCGCTGGCACCGCCCTAGTTACGGCACTGTTCCACAATGATTTAATTATAATTATATGCATAATCGATTAATTTGTACCGCACTGAGATAATAAAAGAAGCTGGGAGAGATGGAATTGCCATTGTTTTTTTTTGGAAAGAAATAGCTCTTACTTTGGATTGTTTAATAAATGTTGATAGTTTTTTGTAAAGCCATTCCATTCCTTCCATTTACCAATTGAGGAGTTTCTAAATATTCACGAGGTATGTAATGTGTGTAACTTAAGCGAAAATGTAAAATAGTTACGTTCTCTTACACAACTACACACGAGTACCTACTCGGTACTTGTTAAAACTTGGCCCGTGTGATTTCATTAGGCATGTGCAGGCGGAGGCTGCAAGTCTTGGCTGAACTTGCAACCTCGGCTGGCATTGTCCTACATTTGGTAGACGAGAGGAATTTAACACTGTACTGACACGAGGACAAAGTTTAGTACCTTTAATAGTTTACTTAAAGAGCACAATAACATTTTCAATGGCCAGTATCCAGAAAAAAGTCTACTTAAACTTAACTTCAGCACAAAAACTTTTTAAGTGGCTATAGCTGTGGGAAATTCAGATCTTACAGTTAATTAAAAAACACAAACTCACATTCCAAAGGTTCCCATGATGGCACAATGTGGCAAATATAATCACTTAGAATAACATTTATTTCATAAACAACGTAACACGACTAGTATATCGACGGATTTCGGGACGCGTTCGGGTGCGTTGCCGAATTGCGCGCGCGCCGTTCGCCGCGAGCGATCTCTGAGTGAGGCTGCCGCGCGCCGCGGCTTCCCGCCGAGAGAGAAAGTTGCAGATTATCAAACTCGCGGTTACGTTCTGCGATGACGCTTCCTCGCGGTATTGCGTATTCGATGACAAAATTTAATTTTCGTCGGTTGTGCGCTACTGACACGGTCGCCAGTTTGCGCAGGCCTACTTTTCAGACCGAAAGTTGTTTAGTTGACTAGCCGGAGGATAGCTTTGTATCTGGTGTCGATTACGCGTTTCAGGTCCGCCGGATTATGCTAATGTGATTTAATTACTCTTACCGGCTATTAAGATTGTCGCTAGTGGTTTGAGAAGTCCTACATATTTTTCTTGATAAAACATTTAATACTTTACCAATACTAAAAATATAGGTATACAATCTTTTAAAAAAAATTACATCATAATACAGTGTGAGTCACGTTAAAGTGTACATATGAAAATGGATGAAACTAGACCTATTTTTATCGACAAAAAAGTGGTCAAAAATTTTTTGAGATTTTTTTTTAATTTTTTATAGAATTTTTTTTCTTTCAAGTACTTATTGTAAAGAAAACGTAATAACTTTTAAACTAAGAGGTATATCCTGATAAAATAAAAACAGTAATAATGCTAAATAACAGACGATACTAAAAAAATACATAAAATACTCAGAAAATGCCAACAAATAATAAAAAATGATACTTTTTGAAAAAAATCTGCTTAAAAATTCGTGTTTTTTTGGTTATTTGATAAATTTCTCCAAAAAATGCCCCTATAAAAGGTAGTTTTTATCACTTTGAATTATTCTCTATCGTATTACCTTTGTAAAACCAAAAATCGCATGTCTCTATCCCTATCACAACATTTGCTATGATCGTTTGAACTAAGCCTCTCCGGGCGCGCCATTCAACGCTTCGTTAATAACGAAACTGAAAATGGCTCTAGATTTGTAATTTTGATAAAGACAAGTTAGATTTCAAGTAAAAACAAAAGATTTCGAAGTAAAATAAGCATTTTAGTTAAAATTAAAACTGTCCCTACTTGTAGAGGAGAATAATGTTGTGGTAGGCCTTTGTTCAAACTATCATAGCAAATGTTGTGACAGGGATAGAGACATGCAATTTTTGGTTTTACAAAGGTAATACGATAGAGAATAATACAAAACAATAAAAACCACCTGTTATAGGGGCATTTTTTGGAGAAATTTATCAAATAACCAAAATAAACACGAATTTTTAAGCAGATTTTTTTCAAAAAGTATCATTTTTTATTATTTGTTGGCATTTTTTGTGTATTTTATGTATTTTTGTAGTATTGCCTGTTATTTAGCATTATTAATGTTTTTATTTTATCAGGATATACCGCTTAGTTTAAAAGTTATTACGTTTTCTTTACAATAAGTAATTGGAAGAAATAAAAATCTATAAAAAATTAAAAAAAAATCTCAAAAAATTTTTGACCTCTTTTTTGTCGATAAAAATAGGTCTAATTTCATCTATTTTCATATGTACACTTTAACGTGACTCACACTGTATAAGTATCAAGGGAAATAGCTAATAGTTTCCCTGCATTCATTAGGTGTGCTGAAAAGGGTCAAACCACACGGTCTAACATAAATATCAAAATACAGTTGTTACAATAATTTCAGGGTTGAAATAAAGATACAGTTCGATGAAACATTTTTCACAACCCACTTGATTTAACACAGTTTCTAGGTAATGCAAGACTTATTAAACCTGTAATTTATTGAATATTTCATTTAATTTAGCAAAATTGAGTGCTCTATATGTATATTTTGTTCCGTTTATTTAATTTCCTACATCGTATATTTTTTATGTATTACGATTATATGCACTATTAATTGGTGAACTCTAGTTCTAATAATGAATTTATTGAATAAGGACCCGAATTCCGAATAAATGCACTTATGCCCACTTTCACCTTTAATCCCTAATTTCTAAGTGACCCCTATGAAAACAAAATTCCTGTTATGTGTATTACTAACCAACACCATAGGCGTCACTAAAAAATTAGGGATTGATGGTAAAAACGGGCATTAAGTATTCTATTTTTGTGTTATATCCGCTGCCAGTACCTATTGTTAAGAGTAAGTCGCTTCATAACATCAACTACCCATTATTAAAAGATGAATGTATGACCGCTGCTTAGTTACGTGGGACACTATTTAAGTTGTGAGCCTAACTATGAAAACAAAGTAGTTTATTATTAAAATGGTATTGATTGCGTTTATTGGTATTGTCTTTCATGATTTATGTACTTTTTAATGTGTTCGAAACACTTTTCATAGCATTTTTTCCACTCAGCTTGAGGCACCTCCAAAGCATGGTTTTTGACCGCACCGACAGTTGCTTCTGGCTACATAAATCGCTGTTCACGCATTTAATTTAAATATATGGGTACCAAAAGAAGTGTTTAGATTCCAAGCAAGAATTTTGTAGCGTTGGACCTGTTTATTTCATATTTTGAGTGTTCAAATAGTCAGTTGTTTGAAGAGACGTGTAAAAGCTCACATTTTCGTCACGAATGGCGATTCGACTATGCTGGTCAGTTTCCCTTATTAAACTGAAGACTTTTGGAAAAAAAGTGGCTGTTTACTATTAAGAATTAACCATTCTAAATTTCTTTAGTGACGTTTCTGTCATATAATCGGATATTTCGGAAAAATAGGCGACCGTAAGTTTCAAAGTGTTCCGAGCGCATGGGACTTTTGTTAGAATTGGTTCATCTTAAAACACCTCCATAGTCGATAACTGTTTATTTTCAGGATCATTATGCATAGATCCTTAATTCGTCAACTGTCACAATTTTAAAAACGGCTTTTAAAGCTTTTTAAACGTATTTATCAAACATTTCCAAGGACTAAACGACACAAGCGTCCTATTGAGCGTTTGAAAAATTTTGTGACATCCAGCGAGAAAAAAACGTATTAACCATAATATAGTCATACAATATTTTATTACTGCTAGTGGAATTAATGCCTAGGATTATCTCAATCCTACGGTATATCACATGACGAGGTTTTTCTTCCATTTTTCTGACAACATCAATGTTTTCCGCCGCTATTAGGCATTTTGGACGACTTTCGCAAAGTTCACTGGTGAGCCATTGACATATAATATTATACTTCTTAAACTAGCGTTTTACAATGGTAAAGAACAGATCTTTATCACCAAAAGTGAAATTTAGCTGACCGCTTGAGTTTTGTATTGATTAACCACGTCGAAAGTCATAATAAATCTTCGCGCGAAAATTTCCGCAAGTCAATTCCATGTTTTTGTAGTCAAGATAATTTTCAATTCAATGTTAATAATACAAAACGTGCTCAAATGACAAAAAGTTTTAAATAAGGTTATAGTCAAAAATGTCAAACTTTTCATTAAAAGTATCAGATGTCGTCTAACAACACGTTATGTTGTCGAGGCTCACAACTTAAATAGTGCCCTAGTATTACGCTGCTAATTATTCTTTATTTTTGCCGACAGTTATTATTTTTTATTTTCATAACATATCGCGTTAGTGTTCACGGTGCATGCTGTTGACCTAATGCTAATGCTTTGAGTGCTTTATGTGATTTGCTATAATCCGCACTAACAGAGTCTGACAATGTTGCAAAAAAATAAGGCCTGACATTAATGTAAATATCAAAAACATTTTTAAATATCATCACATCATCATCATACAACTTTTAACCTAATTTCCAGCTAAGTATTTTTACAAGACCGCAACCATTATTTTGCTAATAATAAGCTCTATCTTGCAAGAAGCAGCTGTCTAGAGTTTGTCAGCCCCTTAGAGCAATCAGTTTTCATTTGATCTGACTATAATTTTGTTAATAGTGTCGCTTTATTTTGCTTTAGGACGTCTTACTTCATGTTTTTCAATACGCGGTTTTTAGGGTTCCGTAGTCCTGAAGGAACCCTTATAGTTTCGATATGTCTGTCTGTCCGACGATTTTCTTGGAAACTATTGGCACTAGTTTACTTTAGACTTGACAGCTCATCAGTTCCAAAGTTCTATGGTAAAGGCTATTTTGGTATTATGGTTTAAATCGATTTAGTTGTCCTATATGTCTAAAAAGATGACCTTTGACCAATTTCATAACTTCAATTTTCATGTGAACGAACCTATCATCGACTGCAAAGTGAAATAACTACTGTTTACATCCCTGAGTAATTCAAGGTAATTCAAGTCTTAAACCTTTGTCCTCTGACGCATAACTTCAATTGAAGTAGACTATAACTAAATGTTGTTGTTTTCCCTAAGTTTAGTGCTATATTTAAACTAGTTTAGTAAGTAAGTAGGTAGTCTTAGGTTACTAAAATATCTTTGCGCTGACTGTACATAAATTATAAGCTAGGTTTGACAGCCGGATCTGTGCGCGTTTTGCGTGCAACTTGTATTGTAGAGGTTGTTGTAACGATTATTGTTTAGAACGGCTTTTGTTTGGTCGGCTTCACGCAAGCACAAATCGATGCTCAATAATCATAACAAACATTGCAAGATTTATTGTTATTACGGGCTTAAAGAAAAAATGTTGCAGCATGCAATAGCATATTTATAGCTGGAATAAAATACCTAAGATTGTTGCTAATATCGTATTAGTTCACATTATTAGTAAGTTATAAATAAGTTATTTATTTTTTATTAAGAATGGTTTATTCAAATAAGAAATCAATACATTTGGCCCTGTTGTTATGTCATCATCATCATCTCAGCCATAGGACGTCCACTGCTGAGCATAGGCCTCCCCCAATGCTTTCCATGCTACCCGGTTGGTAGCGGCCTGCGTCCAGCGCCTTCCTGCTACCTTTATGATGTCGTCGCCTGTTGTTATGTGCCTTGACACAACAAACTTCTAAATATGATGGATAACGTTTGGTGGTGGCTAGCCAATATAATTTAAGAATTTAATTTCAAGCTTACATACCTAGGTACTCACTCGTCAACGTAATGCACAACCTCTTTGTTTTCTTTCTTTTGAGATGCTCTAAATCGCTCTACCATATCCATTTAAGTA